ATGAGTCCTTGAGGACAAGGACATTCTCAAAGGGGGCGGGAATGATGCGTAAGTGGGTTTTGACCCCCGAAGGCAAGAAGGGCTAGGAGCCGAGACGACCCTATGAGGCTAGAAATAGGGCCAAAACAACGCATTCATGGCCTAAGAGATGGGTGCGAGCTCGTATGCAAGGCGAATGGACGAGTGCGTATCGGGCGCTAAGTACGCGTAAGCGCGCACGGGCGCTGGGCACAGGCGGGTGCGCGCGGGCGATAGGCCGTATAGGCGCGAAGCGCGCTGGGCGCGCAACTGGAAGTAACACGGGCGTCCGAGACCGCACGGGCATAGGAGTAAGGGACAGCGGTAAGCACGCGCGCAATGAAGCCAGCGATAGCAGGGTGCGCGCGGTAGAGCGCGAGTGGAGCACGGATGCGGGCGATGTCCTAAACCGCGTAGGCATAGGGGTGCTGGACGACGAGTGCGGGGCGCACGGCGGCACGCACGAGGCACAAGGCAAGAATATGGCGGCAAGCCTAATCCTCGTAGGAATAGGCAAGGCGCGAATACTAATCCTCGCAGAAATAGGAAAAGCTGTTGAGTGCCGGAACGCGCGTGGAAGATCGGTGACGGGAGTAACCCTCGGAAGATCAGGAAACGTATCCGGGAGCATATTCATAGTAGGAATAGGAATAGTGGATATGGGCTCAAAGCATAATCTTACAAGGAAAAGGAGTGGCGCCGCAGGCGCGCGAGACCTAGTCATTGAAGGACTAGGCGAGCGGGGCTGTGCGCATGCGCGTGCAAGGCAAGGCGCGCGATGCCTAGCGCAACGAGGAGTAGGCATCGCAAGGTCGGCGCGCACAAGGGTGGCGTGTGATGAGGCGGTCGAAGTAGTTGGGGCGCAAGACTTGTCTTCTAGAATTGTTTGGAGTGCAAGACAAGTAATTAGGAGATCTAGTAGATTTAAGAATTTATGGTAGTAGGATATTTACTAGCCTTAGGATTTAATATTTAATTGTTTTAATAGTTTCCTAGTAAGATTAGCATTAGAGATAGTTGGTACCTATAAATACCCCATGTACCTCATCATATTTGAGAAGTGGAATGAAGTATTGAATTGGTGAGCCAATCTTGAGGGGGAACTGATGTTCTTAACGTGTGTTAAACAAGGCCGTTAGTGCGTGTTTACATACAGTGTCGGAGAGAAGGCCCTGAGAGCGTCTCGAAGTCACGGTGTCTAGAAGAAGGCCCTGAGTGCGTCTGCTAGATACACCTATCATGGATAAACGAAGGCCCTGAGTGCGCCGTTTATTCACATCCCACGTATAAATAACAACACCGATCAGCGGTCCTTCATCATTGGTGCTTTCATTGAGAGGTGCTGATCATGTTTTTATTTATCCTATCTTTTTCTTTTTTTCGGTTTGCCTTTTGCTGAGGGGCCGAATTTCTCTTTATTTTATGGTTTTTGGGGTTCGACTATTTTTTGAATTTTCCCTTATTTTTTCAAAATTGAGTCTTAAAAAAAAATGTCATCTTGTTAGTCCTTTGTTCGATTTTTTCGGTTATTACCATTTGTTGAGGGGCCGAATTTCTCTTTGTTATTTTTTATTTTTGTTCGAATTTTTATTTCGAATTTTAGAGTAAAAAAAAATGATGTTTGAGCCATTAGTTGAGTGGGATCAAGAGGATCTCGAATACCTTGAAAATTTGGAGAGGGAATTAACCCCTTGGGAGCAAGAATATTTGGAGGAGATGTACGAGCAAAAGGAGAAGTACGAACAACAACTCAAGATCACGAAGGCGTTCGTCGAAGAAAAGCCTTTGTTTAAGTCCTATCTATCGGGCTATGTTGAAGAAGAGGTTGCCGAGTGTGTGGACGAGCCGATCGAGTACGATGAACCACATGCGCTCGATGAGGGGACCATGGGCGAGAATTTCTCGATCAATTACTTGGGTCCACCGATGTCCGACAATGACAGAACCGCGGACATCGAGGAAGTCAAGCTAGCCGAGGTTGAAGAGGTGATCAAAGGCGATGTAGGAACATTGGTTGAGTTCGAAGAAGTCAAGACCGAAGGAGACCAGATAATCAATGTTGCAAGCGAGATCATGGTCGAAGAGGTGTTCGAAGTCGAGATCTTGGCCATAATCGATGAGGATCGTGAGTGGGATGTGTGCGTGATCGAAGAGGAAGTTCCCGAGTTTTGGATGGTCGAGGATGAGTCCTTGAGGACAAGGAAATTCTCAAAGGGGGCGGGAATGATGCGTAAGTGGGTTTTGACCCCTGAAGACAAGAAGAGCCAGGAGCCGAGACGACCCTATGAGACTAGAAATCGGGCCAAAACAACGCATTCATGGCCTAGGAGACGGGTGCGAGCTCGTATGCGAGGCGAATGGACGAGTGCGTATCGGGCGCTAAGTACGCGTAAGCGCGCACGGGCGCTGGGCACAGTCGGGTGCGCGTGGGCGATAGGCCGTATAGGCGCGAAGCGCGCTGGGCGCGCGACTGGAAGTAACACGGGCGTCCGAGACTGCACGGGCATAGGAGTAAGGGGCAGCGGTAAGCACGCGCGCAATGAGGCCAGCGATAGCAGGGTGCGCGCGGTAGAGCGCGAGTGGAGCGCGGATGCGGGCGATGTCCTAAACCGCGTAGGCATAGGGGTGCTGGACGACGAGTGCAGGGCGCACGGCGGCACGCACGAGACACAAGGCAAGAATATGGCGGCAAGCCTAATCCTCGTAGGAATAGGCAAGGCGCGAATACTAATCCTTGCAGGAATAGGAAAAGCTGTTGAGTGCCGGAACACGCGTGGAAGATCGGTGACGGGAGTAACCCTCGGAAGATCAGGAAACGTATCCAGAAGCATATTCCTAGTAGGAAAAGGAATAGTGGATACGAGCTCAAAGCATAATCTTACAAGGAATAGGAGTGGCGCAGCAGGCGCGCGAGACCTAGTCATCGAAGGACTAGGCGAGCGGGGCGGTGCGCACGCGCGTGCAAGGCAAGGCGCGCGATGCCTAGCGCCACGAGGAGTAGGCATCTCAAGGTCGGCGCGCACAAGGGCGGCGTGTGATGAGGCGGTCGAAGTAGTTGGGGCACAAGACTTGTCTTCTAGAATTGTTTGGAGTGCAAGACAAGTAATTAAGAGATCTAGTAGATTTAGGAATTTATGGTAGTAGGATATTTACTAGTCTTAGGATTTAATATTTAATTGGTTTAATAGTTTCCTAGTAAGATTAGCATTAGAGATAGTTGGTACCTATAAATACCCCATGTACCTCATCATATTTGAGAAGTGGAATGAAGTATTGAATTGGTGAGCCAA